CTATGATGTATATATTGGATGTGTATATACTTTTACATTAATTTGAAATAAAACTTTCATTCATTTTTCTATAGTTTTCTGTGTTGCAGATTTTCTTTATGTTGCAAGGATGAATTTAATAGATGTAATAAAAATATATTTAATTATTGTTGTATTTTGGATCGAACTCTAATTTCGATAGGGATAATTTTATGTTTTGATAGAGTTATGCATGTTGTAGTTAAAATCTATTCAAACATGCAAGAGTCAAATATGTGTGTATTGTAGTCGAAGTCATGTTCTAAGATGCAGTTGTATAAGTTAGCTATTTGTTTAATTTAGCTTAGTGTTTAAGTTAGTTTAATGTTTAAGTTAGTTTGTAGTCTATTAGTCTATAAATATACAACTCTCTTAGGTTGTTGAGAGATGGTTCAACGTTAGATGTGTTAAACACTTCTAACCTTTTTCCCTAATTAGAAAAGCGAATTGAAAAATAATTTAACTAATTCTTGTTCTTGTTCTTCTTCCTCTATTCTCTTTTTCATAAAACTATTTTTTTTTTTATCTTTGTTCAAAAAACTCAATTTTTCTAATAATTTTATTTGTTCTTGATGGCAATTGTCAAAATAATTATAATTTTGATATGCTAATTTACAATGTTAAAAAAAAATAGTTTTTATATTTTAAAATCAAACAACCGTGATCAATTTCACATGTTTTTTATTCATAATTTATGATTTTCTATTTTATTATAAATTATATTTTTTATTTTTAAAAATTCAAAAAGATTTATATTTTTTTTTGTATATTGAAAGTTAATAATGTATGCATTTTTCAAAAACATGTAATATGCATATTTTGTTTTTAGAATCCAACAAATATTTTTATATGATAAAACCAGTAAAACCTTAATCAAAAATAAATATTTTATCAATTTAATATAAAAAAATGTGATAGAATAAACAAAATTGTTTCAAATTAAAATGATTTTTATTCTTTTAAGAAAATAAAAGATGAAAAATCAAACTATAATTTAACTTAAAAATATATTATATACTATATTCAAAATAGAAAAGCGAGTATAGAAAATAAATGTCTCCAGCAAACAAACTCAAGTCAAGTTAATTAGATATTATATTCATCTGAATTTCAATTCTAAATCGAGTAAAATGAAAACTGCAAATCAATTAAAACAAATAAATAATTACATAAAATAAAAAATTATTAAATATATTTAGATGTTATTTTTTAAAAATTACTCGGTTTGAATTGAATTTTAAATTGATTTTTCAAAATCAATTTAAACTAAATCAAATCGCATATATATATATATATATATATATATATATATATATATATATATATATATATATATATATATATATATATATATATATATATATATATATATATATATATATATATATATATATATATATATATATATATATATATATATATATATATATATATATATATATATATATATATATATATATAAATAAATAAATAAAAGTAGTACGATATATTGTATTCATTTATTATTACATGATATTTATTTTTTAAAATATTATTTACTAATTTAATTTAATTTTTTTATTTTTATTATTTCATTTGTTTCAATTATAGAGATTATTATTATTTTATAATATTAACTTTTTTAATATAATAATATATGTTATATAAAATTTAATATTTATTAGTATTTTTATAATATTAATAAAAATATAATTAGTAGTTTGGAAATTTAAAAAATCAATTTAAACTAAATTGCATAAAATTGAATCAAATTAGATTGAATTTTTTTAACAAATTATTTAAATTGAATCGAATAACAAGTAAATTTATCATTAAATAAAATGATATTTGAATTCAAATGATCTAAACGATACCACGGATTCTTAATCAATTATTGATGCATTGTGAGTTTATTAATAAACTTTTAACATTAAATTATTAAATTAAAAATAAAAATATGAAAAATTAAGACTTAAATGCATTTTTAGTCCATGTAAATTAGCGAGGTTTTGAGTTTAATTCATGCAATTTTTTTATTTATCAAAATTCTTATATTTTATTTTTTGTGTGTTTTAATCCTTGAGCTAAAATTCGTAAAAAATTTGAAAAAAAATCCACAGATAATCAACGTATTTTAATTTTAAAAACTAAAACCACTTCCAAAAAATAAGATATAAAAATTTAGACAAAAAAAAATTACAGAAATCAAACTCAAAAACTCACAAACCAAAAATTTAATAATACTAATAATTTCTAATTCTTACGTATTTACTTGGTAGTGAAATCTAGAGTACTAGATTATGTTTTTCTCATTTTCTCACGCTTAAATTCCGTTAAATACAAAGAATTTTTATGTGTAGCAAAATTTGTCGGAATATCATATACTAAGATTTGTGAAATTACTAATAAACCCTTTCAATAATAGAAAAATAATATATTTTTAAAAATGAAAACAGTAGTAATAATACTAATAACAATCTTAAAAATCAATGTCAGTAAACACACATAAGTTTCTTATAATGAGACAAAATAATTTACATAATAATTATTTAATATTAACTTATATAGTTACTGACAAAGACAATCTAAAGAAAAGAAATGATAGATATGGAATTAGAAGTTATAAAGACAATCTAAAGAAAAAAGGAAAAACATACAGAGACGACACCTTATGTTATAGACTAGTACAGTGTATAGCACCAGAGTGCTACTCAAACATATAATTAACCTTTTTTCCCGAAAAATGCGTAACAACGTAAATCACACGCGTTCCATTTTGCGTGAGTCTCACGCTCCAATCTAATGGTGAGAGAACTGAAACGGCGTAGGTATTGTGAGGTGAGAAGTGGAAAACGCGCTTGAGTGAGGGTCACGCGCTTAGGTTATAGAGGTAAATCAATGTTGTGTGGCGTCATGTGAGTGTTTGTAAAATTACAAAAATAGGGGAACAAAAGTCTTTATGTGCTTTTATTTCACTCCTCTCTCTATCTCTACGCTTATGGTACAAGTATAGTATACTTTTCCATCACTTTGTTGATTTTAATAGTTTATAAATTATGACTAATTTATTTATTTATTTTGTTTGTACCAAAAAAATATTAATTTATAAGTTATAGTACATGATTTATTGCTTATAATTTTTTGGATTAAATATGTTTTTTTATTTCTATAAATTATTAAATTTATTTTAAATATTTATAAAAAGATAGCGTGTTTTGTTTTTTACGAAATAATTATGTATATAATTTTAATTTTTAATATTAAATTAATGTATATTTTTAAATGATTATTTTATTGATAAGTCGAGATTTTCATTACTTTTATTATTATTTTTTAAAATATAAAAAATTTATATTTAAATCTTTTCATTTTAAAAAATTATATAATTTTAAAAAGTAATATTTTATAGTAATCTGAACACGTATGAAAAAAATCATTAAAAAATTTAAAAGTTTAGCGGTAATTAAATAGTTTTCAAAATTTTAGAAAATAATAAGAATTAAAATTACATGTATAAAATTTTTGTAGGGATTAAAATATGCCTTTTTTTAGAGACTAAAAATAAAATGTGAGATATTTATAGAGATTAAAAACATATTTAATCCTAATTTTTTTATTAAATTATTTTTTATTTTTTATTTTCTTTTCTTTTGTCTCAATTATTTTATTAAATTATTTTTTTTATTAAATTATTTTTTTATTAAATTATTTTTTATTTTTTATTTTCTTTTGTCCCAATTATTTTATTAATTTAAAATCATTAAATAATCTTATTATTGAAAATCGATATTAAAAATAATTTATATCTAACATTCACACACTTCACTCTAATAAATATTTGTTTATTACAAAATTGTGACAAATTCTCACACTTGAATAATTTGTAAATTCAGTAATCAATTGACTTTAAATTGATCGAAGTAATTTTATTTATTTTAAAATTAGTAACTAATTTGATGATTAATATTATAGATTTACAAATTTAAAAAATTTATTTATTTTTTCCTCTTATTTCTATTATTTTATCAAATTAAAACTTGTTTTTGTCACCAATAAGTTTATATGCAATACACACTCTTCGGTCTAATTATTACTAATGTTTCACTTGACTTATTTTTATAAAATTAATTTGTTAGATGAAAGTGTTACTTTACATAAATTTTAATATTAATAAAGTATATTTTAAAAAACAAAATTATAGAAGCTATTTTACATTTATAAGGTAATTTAATTAAAAACTTGAGAATATAATATATTGGATAAAAAAATGAGAAAGGACGATAATTGGAGAGAGATAGAAGACAAAGGCATGTTGAGTTTCACTTTCCATTAAACCCTATTAAAAAAGAAAAAAAGAAAAAGAAGAAACAAAACAAGAACATGATAAGAGAAAATGTTCCACAAGAAGAACAATAAATAAAACACAGAGAGAAAGAGAAAGAAAAAAGGTCGTTATTGATTTTTCTCATTCATTCACTGCTCTTGCTCACTGTTATCACTGCAACCAACACTCTTCTGTTTCCTGGACCCTCCAGAAACTCAGCTTCTTCCTCTTTCTCTCTCTAACTATCTTAACCATAACTTTTTCTCAATCCACTCAACAAAATGCCAAATTCACACTAATACTAGTAGAAATAGAACTACTACCCACTATAACACCTACACCAGATTACTTTCTTTTTCTTCTTCTCAATATATCTCTCACCCCACCATATAAGATCTACACCACCCCACATTTTTTACTTCTTCTGTTACCCATTTTTCACTTCTTTTTTTAACTATATTACATAGTTGTGGCTACTACAAGGAGATTGCCTTCAGATTCAGGAGCTTTTGCAGATTGGGCACCTACCTCTTCCTCTACACCTCGTCCTGCTGCTCCCGAAGATCTCTCTCTCGGTTTCAATGCCGGTCCTACCGCCGGAAACACCGGACCTTCCACCGGACCCACCTCCGGCCTATGGCAAGCCTCTTCTTCTAGACCCATCAATTACGCCCCGGAAATGGGTATGTTCGTTGTAGCACCGTCTCCTTTTCATCACCACCATGAATCTCTCATCTCCGATTCTCTTAACCCCGCCACCGCCCTCGGCGTCGGGGTTATCCCGTTACTCACCGCTTCACCTTGTCTTGAAAACGAAAACTTGTTAAACTTAAACCACAGGAGAAACCATAACCATAACCATAACCAAAACCAACAAGGAATTCAATTTTGGCATGAACCACAACCACAGCATCATCAGCAACATCAACATCATCAAAATCATCAACAACAGAATTCACACTCACACTATTTGAAAAAACAAGGTTTTCTTGATCATCATAATACAAGTCCAACGAATTTAGTTCATCACGGTGGTGGTGGTGGAGGAGGAGGATTAACCGGTTCTGGAACAAGCAGTGGTGGAGGAACAACAACGTGTCAAGATTGCGGTAACCAAGCGAAGAAAGATTGTAGTAATAGAAGATGCAGAACTTGTTGTAAAAGTAGAGGTTTTGATTGCCCTACTCATGTTAAAAGTACTTGGGTACCTGCTGCTAGAAGAAGAGAACGTCTTGCTTCTGCCACCACAACCACGGTGGTTGCTGGTGGTGGTTCCAGTGGTTCAACATCCGGTGCTAAAAAACCTAGACTCATAGCTTCACAAACTACTTCTCACACATCCACTTCTAATACTACACCCCCTAGAAGCTTTGACACCACCTCTAGCCACCAAGGTTTGTTTAATTCTCATAACTTTCCATTCATATAAGGTTTTGCAAATTTTAATATCATGCATTTTAAATCAGCCTGTTAAACTAATTCATGGAATTTCTTTAAAATTTTATGTGCATGTTTGGTATCACAGTTAAAGCGAGTTTGTCACAATCACGCCGAGCTTTCATTTTGCATAACCTAGACTTTGGTTTTGCAAAAATCATGGCTGCCTCGGCATGATTCTGAAGGACTCGCATTTAATCTAAACTAAGCTATGTGACCTTGCATGTTTTTCTTAGAGTTGACAATGAATTGAACCGATTTAAATTTTGGTTCGCCGATCAATGAGTTGAAAATTTAGCATTTTCATTTAAGCTCTACCATAGCATTGCATAGTTCGGCTCGTTTGTTTCATTGAATAGTTTGGTTAGTTTGTTTGATTGATGAAAATGTTATAAATTTTGATTTGTTTTATACAGATGCAGGTTTCAAAGAGTCAATGCCGGGTCAAGTTCGCGCACCAGCCGTATTCAAGTGTGTTAGAGTAACATCGGTAGACGATGGAAAAGACGAGTATGCATATCAAGCCGTAGTGAAGATCAATGGCCATGTTTTCAAAGGTTTTCTCTATGATCACGGTGTCGAGAATAGAGAAGTTTATCCTAACCTTTCCGAGCTTCATTTAGGTGGTGGTGGAAGTGGAAATAGTGGAGGTGCAAATAGAAATGTTGCTCCATCTTCTTCACCAATGTTAGATCCTTCTCATGATGTTTATGCAGCAGCTTCAAGTGGAGGTTTACTTGGAAATTCAGGTTATGGTGGTAATCAAATAAATTGAATTAAAATTTTCTTTATGTTAATTTTTCCAAGTAAAGCAAAGTATTTATAGTTATACTTGGAGAAAAGATTTATCATATTTGTAGTAGTAATCTTGGAGGGGTGGGAAAATTAATTAATTTTCTTCTATATTTTCATCTATATTTTCTACTATATAGAATTTGTACCTTATTGCACATGTCACTTTTTTTTTTTAAGGTTTTATTCTTTGTTCTCTCTCAAATTTGCCTTTCTAAGTTCATGAGATCAATGATCATTCAATGACATATAAGAGTATCATTAATCATTATTTAACTCTTAATTAAACTAATAGTTTATGTATCAAGTAAACTCAAAATGGAAAAGCATAGGTCCATTAATCATTTTTTTAAATAATTTTAATTTCCTTTAATTATTGTATTAACTATTTCCTTTCGTTTCCTTTGACAGCTATATTTTTTTATGTTTATTTTAATTCCCTTTATTTTTATTATTTTATATGTTATTAAGTTTTGCTAAAGTTGAAATCTACAGTATAAAGTATGCATGATAAATATATAAATATATATATATATATTTATATATATTTATATATATACATATACTGTTTTTCCAATGATTTGTTCTGAATATGTATATATACTTTTTCAGCATGATTCTTTATTTTTTTTCTTCTGAATAATCATGCTATACTATTTTATTTTCCATATGTTATATTGTAATATAATATTTTTTAATACTAGAAAAAATGGATTCTATATATAGATTGGTTTGTTATAAATTTTATAGACTATAAATAAGTGTTTGTTTATACAAGTAGTTTCTACTTTAGACTTAAGCATGAGAAGTAGTTGTAACGTCACAATCATTTATTTGTCTGTCATTTTCATTCTTAGTTTCATTGGTCTTCTCTGATGAACCTGCAAAGTTTTTCTGCATTTCATCAAGACATGATGTACTCTTTTTTCCAATTGTTCTTCTTTGTATAATTCAGACAATAGCTATTAACATTACACAGAAAATTTTGATTTTGGTATCCAACTTTTTTTCTTTTCAGATTTGTTAGTCATATTCAACTCTTCTGTTTTTTTCTTTTTTAATGCTTTCTCATTGTGCTTTGCAATAATAATTCTCTGTCAGTTTCACATTCTTTGTTTGCAACAAGAACCATTTACTATGGAAGTCACCATCTTTTGTTAATGAAAATTTGTTTTAATTAATGTTTTGGTCATCTAAATATAAATTTTTTGTTAGGTTTTTTTCTTTTAAATATATATTCTCCTATCACTAATATACGCCAAAAATATTTTTTTTATTCATTCAATGATGAATCTGATCATTATTTTATATATATATATATATATATATATATATATATATATATATATATATATATATATATATATATATATATATATATATATATATATATATATATATATATATATATATATATATATATATATATATATATATATATATTATTTAATAAACTTGAAATTTCTTTTATTTCTTATAATAGTGACCAGTGGTGTATAATCATATTTTAAGATTTCAAACACTTGAAAATATTTTTAGGTGATTAAGATTAATAAATGGTATATTTATATGGAGTAGAAGAATATTTTTAAATTTTTTTGGGGATTTAAAATTATTTTTATTATATAATAATTATAATTAGCATGAAACATGTTGATTTTTTTTTGTTGCTGTAATGTCTGCTAGTATGTAATTTATCTTATAAGAATAAATGGTGTTGGTGTTGCTTTCTCAGCATTTAATTTTATATACTTTATTGTCACATGATTTTGGCAATTGGATAAAAAAATATTATTGTCTCAATACATTGCATATTTGGATAATTTTCTTATTCCACACATGCTGCCCCCTTTTAGTTGTCTCAACATATTTTATATAGCATGTGGATTGATTATAGTCTTTTTATTTTTCCTTGTATAAATCTATGTCTTTGTCTTGCTTATTACACTAATAATTAATTATACTAATTTAAAGTATATGTTTTGTGTGTGACATAGTATTATATTTATAACTTTTTTTTTTAGTTTTGTGAAACTTCTTGTCTCATAAGGTTGAGCTGTCCAACACTGCCTATCATGTCAAAGAAAAAGTAATAATTAAGTTTTCCTTTTCATATATGGGGTATCAATTATTCTATGTCTCTAGTTAAATTAATCAATTGTTGCATTGAAAAATTGAGCAAGTTGTTTGTGCCCTAAAACATGTGTTTGTCATGTTCATTAATGTGAGACATTTTTGTTTCTTTTGTGTTTGGTTTTTGTATTGCGTATTTCTGGGATTTGGTTGTGTGTAATTGGATTGTTTGATCCTTTAAAGATTAAACACACTTGATTTGTTTTGTTATCCATTGTGAATGATTGGACAACTCTATTTTTGTATTGTTAGTGTGATCCTCTATATTTGGGGGATTTTGTTGTTAGAACTAGTAGTGCTATACAACTTCACATGATTGGTGTAATGATGGTTGTACATATAGGTACATGTCTCCATTGGTGGGTACACTTCCCTTGGATTGCTCTAGTTAAAGCATACTTTTATTTTGTGCATTTTTGTGTTGTAAAAAGAATTTGGCCTATGTTGTTTGGATTTAGATTCACTACAACAAAGGAATCCATCCGGTTGTTGCAAGTTGGGACTATTCGAAAAATCTAATGACTTGTTTAGTTAGTTTGTTAAGGTTAATCTGTGCTTAAATAGAGTTTCTATTTGTTTTTTAATAACCTCGAATGATTGTTTGGATGATATGTTTCTTTTTTATTAATTAATGTTGTATGGGTAAATGTTGCACAATTGTTTAAGTTGAGATTTTTGGTTTGATTAGATTGTGCTTTTGTTATAGAATTTTGACACATAAATCTTGTTTTTTTAAGTGTTTTTTTTGTTAGTGTGGTTATTTGCGGCAAACTATTTGATTTGCAGATTCATTAAATTTGCTTCTATCTTATCTATTGATGCTTCTAATTTATTTTCAATAACTTTGTTACTTATTAGAATGTTATAAACACCAAACATATGAAGATTGAAACAAAAACTATTATTCTTATAATCTCAAAGATTGATTGTTAATTGTGTTATTATACAAAGTGAACAACTAACTGACTTATTTAGACTTTATAACTACAAATACCTCAATGCAGTAATATCAAAATAGTGGATGTTAATATCTTGCTAATCATAAAAAAATACAATGTTAATCTCCATGTGTGTTAAGTTTCATGCGTGTTTTGATAAATTTACTGCCATCGAAACAACTATTTGAGTTGCTGTTATTAATTATTAAACAATTTAAAGAATAAGTTATGAATAAAAAGAAGAAATGAATTTGTGAGGATGAAAACATTTAATTCGGGGATAACGTTAAATTTAGCTTAAATTGGATATGGTGGTCTAATATAATTTTTTTTTTGTTTTTGTCTAACTTAGATATAAATTTGACTTTAAATATAAGGACTATCAAAATGGTATTGACCTTCTTCATTCTATGTTTTTGAATTTATTTAAATACTATATTGAACTTTATTATAATTTGCACACAAGATTCTTGTTATATATTATTAGTTTTTTATTTATAAAATCAAATTGAATACGTGGTTATTGATTTAGTATGCTTTTTTAATATAAAATTTATGTCTCACAATATATATCATTTTAATTAAATATTTATATGTATATTATTTTAATTAAATATTTTTTATATGAATAAAAAGATGATATTGAATATAATGTTATGATATTTGATCCATTTAGTTGACTTAGTTGATCATATTTAGTAGGATAAGTATTTGTTTTAATATTTTTCATGCGAATTTTTAATATTAATAAATTTTTTTCCTTAATTTATCCTATTATATTTATTTATTTTATTTACTATTTCAATTTTTTTTTCATATTTTAATTTCAATTTTCATACTTCTAACAAAAAACAAAAACTGTTATAACAATAAATTTGTTTGAAGTATATGTTAATTGTACATGTTTATTCATATAATTATTAATATCATAAATTAAGTAATATATGGTTGTAAAGAGATGGTTAATATTTTAAAATTTGTAATAAGTTATATTTTAGGTGATATGAAAATAGAGACTAGGGAATTAAATTAGAATATATATTGTATACACACAATCAATTATCTATAGGACTGTTTAAGCAAATACCAAAGTTATAATGGTGTCATTTTTTGTGTGAATATTCTTGTATTTGTGAGTGTTTTTTTATATGAATTTGTGCCAATCAAAGAAGAAGATGAAAGCAAAAAAAAGTAAAAAAAAGTAAAAAAAAAATTAGTTGCAGATAAATGAAAGAACAAACCAATAATTTATATTGATGATTTTTTTTTTAAAGTTTAAAGTGGCATTCATATAAATTATAAAGTTTTTATAGTTTATTTAGTAATTTATTGAATTATTTATAACAATAATAGTTATTTGATAACTAATGAACACAACATATGAATGTAATAGTAGTAAAAGCTTCCACTTAGTATTTCTATTATATAATATTCATTATCACATAACTTGCATGACATCAACCATCATTTATAATACATGAAGAACGAATTGTATGTATTTATTTTAAAAAGTATACTGTTGTGCATGTGGTTAGTAGAATCATTGGTGAACAAAATATATGACTCAAAAATCATGTATTTAATTTATGAGAAAAACATAATATTGATTATTTATTTAATATACGAAATATATATATTTTTTTAATTTAAAAGAACAATAAATTAGTTATGTTTTAATATTTTCTACAATTTCGTTTTCATCAACTATTAAGGGGAAAGACCCGTCGTCGAGGACAAATTTCGATTTTCATCAACTACAATTTCTTATTTTATTTATGATTATGACACATACATTTTTTTATTTTAATATAAAAAATAAATAATTTTCCCCTCCTTTTACAAAATTGAAAAAAAAAGTTAATCTAAATTTATATATTTATCTTTTTGCCTCCAAATTTTATATTTCTCCCAT